AAGATAGCTATAGGAACATGTAATATCAAAATATTCCAATTTCGATTCTCTATCTCATGCAATAGGAAGAACATGGTCATTCCATTTAAAAAAACTGAGTTTTTGGACTTTGAAGTTTCTTAAATTTGGATCTCCATAGGTGCGATTATACGCAACTTAATTTTTTTTAAGTACACTAAAAGAAAGCCCCATTCATTCTCTATGCAATGATAAAAATGGATTGCCATGACTATAACCATTTTCAAGTAATCAATTATCAAGGTACCATCTGCATCCGCCATTTTTTTTCATAAAGTCAAAATTTTACGTAGAATCCAAAAATGCAATAAAAAAATAGGGGTTGCCATTTAATATAACGAAGTTACTATCTACTTCCGGTGTTTCCGGAAGGGTGGCCATTTTGAAAATATTTTACATCGATTCGGTCTTCAGAGTAACTCCTAAGTATAAATTTTCAAAAACCTACCTATTTTACTTTCCCAGAAACGTTTAACTAAAGCTCCCAAAAAAACACCCTGTATAGCGTTGTGTGTGTGTGAATTATTTTATTTCTCGGTCTTTCTATGTGCGTACATTACATATTGTATTTGGCTATAGCTACTAGACGTAGGTTAATTGATGTTCGTGGATTGTATTTAAGTACACACTTTTAAACGGTAAAGTTAAGGGGGTCAGCAAAAAAGCTGAATCAAAATCGTTTCAAATGATCTATTGAAGCCGTTGTATAAATTTCAGTTAAAATAGTTTTATTTCATTTTTGTATAGATGGAGTATGCATACATTGATTTTAATTTTAGTTTGGGAAATTTTGGGTGATAAGATTTTCAATTCAATACGATTCAATAGTTTTGTTGTGGTAAAGTTCTGTTGCGTGTGAGGTGTATCTATCTACAGCGTCGTCATTAATTAATCGTTCAACTATCTGTCAATCAATTAAATATTAGCCATCCTGATCTTTTCCTTTACCTCGCCATATTCTCCTTGCAACACAAGAAAAAGAAAAATAGCGATTGAACGACGACAGGTGAGTGCGATTTTTTTCCTATTTCAATTAACTAAAACATGATCTAAACGAGTTCAGTCGTGTTAGACTACTGCAAACAATGCCCACCTAATTATTTAAAGTCATGAGAAAGGTACCTATATTATATGGATAGTTAGTTGCAAGAACCAGGCAGGAAGTTGAAATTTACCATCTCTGTTGCTTTTTAATAATAAAAAAAATATGCACACGTCCATTCATCACGGGTAGATGCCTACATTTTTACATCGTCTTGCATAACATTTTTATTAAAGCACGGTGGACACGAAACAGGACCTAATTAAACAATTTAAATTCGTGCTTCATGGTCAAGTCCCATAGTGACAACTATATGAACATGAACACGCAAACCAACTCGTTCTTGATATAAAAATAAAACCATTGTTTCTACGAAAAATTGTTAAAAATTCGTATTCGAATTCTATTGTTTTGTTAATTACCGCTCATTGAAGTAATGATACAAGCATTATTTTGGCTTTTCTAGAGGCAATGAATGTATTAAAATTTTCACGCCAGGAGGTAACGATACGTGTAAAATTATATTTTACCAACGGTATATGGATATACCTACTCTTTTGTAACGATACAGAAATGGTTCAGGTTTCTCTAATCACTAATGTATTGTCAAAACTTACTTTTTTATAATCGATACCCTTACGCTGACTCCGTCCTCGCTCAGTCGTTATATGTCGCTCCACAAGTATCATACCATTGTTCAAATACTTTTATTAAACAATGGTCATAGGTACATATTAGAATTTTTAGTAGATTCGTAGTCGAAATACTAATAATATCAGCGCCCTTGGTCATCATGATCGACACGGATGATTAACTTACCCTCTAAGTTCGCTTTACTTTTGACAGTTTTACTGGGGTTTTAGGTGAATTGCCTATGAGAAACGAAACACGTGTTTTACGAAGACAAAACAGAGACCCTTTATTAATTAAGTGGATATATTTTCGAGGCAAAAAATTTACACATTACAAAAGGAAGCAATGTAGGTGAAATATATACACATGTTGAAATAAGTTTTTGGTTTTTGCCCGAGGAATCCGAAGAAGAACAAAAAAAAGGCTGAAAAAGGCAAAAAACGAATGCAGTCGAAGAAGCCGAAGATAAGGCAACTGAGGATCCCCAGGAAACCTACAACTTTGAGAAGTGAAGGCGAATAAGCTGAAGATGGTGTAGATTTAGAGGGATGTCAAAATATTAATGAAAAAATGAAGTTTACTCAAGAAATTTTGGTGTTCGGTGGATTGGAGAAGCCTTTTAATGCCCGCAGTGTATTGTGTTTCACAAAGGCAGAATCCGCAAAAGCTAAAGAAACGAACAGTCCGAAGAATTCTATGATTAAACGAAACCGAAGCATACGAAGAAGACAAGAATCCAACGAAACCAAAAATGCTGTTCTGTTAAAAGCGGCGAGAGTTTAAAACCGCCCAAGAAAAGATCTCCCCCGGTATTTTCATCGTGGCTTTCTGGGAATGGCAATTGGGCGGTATTCTATACCCCAACCACTCTCCGAACGTCTTCTGCAAAATCTGTTATGAGAAAAGTGTTCACTTTGAGCAAACGTAACAAAATTTACATTTAGATAAGCACTCGGTAAGCTCAAACTTATGCTAAATAGAGGTGGGTCGGGATGAATAATTGGGTTCGTGTACACAGTCAAAACGAAGCAAAAAGGAAGTACCTATAGGTAAACCGGATAGGCGCCACTTAATCCTTAGTCAAAAAAAAGTGACCGAAAAGGGAAACAAAGCAGACTAAGATATCCTTCTTCTAAAAACAAAATAAGAAAGTTGGGACTGCACATCCTACACAAAACCAAATTTGGAAAATGGCACTACATTTGCTTTTATTCCAAGTGGCTATGTATCAAATTCCATTTGAATGCCTCCATAAATAAGAAAGTTGGCACTGCGCATGCGTAAAACCAAATTTTGAAACTGGTGTTAAATTTGCTTTTATTCCAAGTGGTTATGTATCAAATTATTCATTTAAATCCCTCTATAAATAAGAAAGTTGGCACTGCGCATGAGCAAAACCAAATTTTGAAACTGGCGTTAAATTTGCTTTTGTTCAAAGTGCATATGTATCAAATTTCATTTATATACCTTCATAAATAAGAAAGTTTGCAATTCGGTTTGTAAATGGTCGTGATGCGAAAAGGGCACTGTGAATGGTGATCGATTGGGCCCAATTTTTGGAATTGCATTTTATATGGCTAAAGCTATACGCATATTGAATCTGATGCAATTCGGATCATAACTCACGGAGATATCAAAGGGGCCTTCCTTATTTTTTGGGCTACATTGCCAATTCACGAACTGCGATCAACAAATTTGATAAAGAATCCACCTGCAAAATTTCATCGTATTCGGTCCAGTCGTTTATGAGTTATCGTGCTAACGGACGGACGGACAGACGGACAGACACCGCAAAATTATAAACTCGCTAAGAGCTCGTTAATAATTCACAGAGTAGAACATAAAATTGTTGTTACAATCGAGGATAAATGATCTCAAAATATTACAAATAGGTCACTGTAACATCCAGATCTAAAATGTCAAAGCTAACTCCATTTTTAGCAAAAAGGGGAACAACTCGTAGTCAGGGTCATTATCAAAACAGGCTTCCGCAGAAAACAACGGACCTATAATTTATTTTTAAATGACTATCAACTTATAGTATTTTTTATTTCACCTGCAATATATTTAAAAACAAGGGAAATAAAATAAAATCATGTTGACGTTATACTCGAATACATATCTAACTAAGCTGGCTGTTTATTCTTAATTCCACGATTGCCATGGAAACTTAACGTCTGCGTATAAAAACTCCATGCAATGGCTTGTTGCAAAAGCAGAAGAAAAGTCGATAGGTGCAAAATCCAAATCCAGTAAAGCCTATATTATAAATAAAAAATATGAAAAGTTGTTTTCGGGACTGAACTGGAAGCATCTTACGAACAAAGTCATTTTTAAATGCATCGGTAATGCTGACATATACGAAGGAAATGTCAAAGGTATTTAAATCTTCTATCGTTTGGTGCATTCATTCAAAACTTCAAATGCTACGATGAAAAATGGAACAGATTTGCCAGCATATTCTAAATTACACGCGTTTGTGAAAGCATCAAACAACGGATAGGTACAAGCCAAAGAAATCGTTTGCATGTACAAGAAGGGACCTAAGAAATTTTTATTTCAGACCCAGATGACAGCTTCGTAAGTCATATTTGAAGTAACATTACTTAGCAACCTTTAAAGTAGGTACTCGTGTTTTAAAGGTCCGATTTCGCGCACATTTGAGTGTTTAAAACAGAGATGATTATGAGGTATAATAAAAAAGTTTTTTTTAGTAATTTCAATATTAAAACGACTTCTAAATACTGAACTAAAGATTAGTTTCAATAATTCAAAACTTGAATATTGAACGATTCTTGGGAGGCTCGAGAATAACTCCGATTGTAGGCCACTAACAACTGCGCGATAAATGGAATTACTTTGATCTACTACATCTGTCATACAGGTGCTCCTCAACTGGAAATTTGATTACCTAATGTATTGCCTTAGGTTCTTTTCTACCTCTACAGGGTATTAGCTATTGTAAAAGCGTAATAATAAGCAATAGTTGAATTGAATAATTTGACTAGTAGTTTTTGGTGGTCAAACAGACTGATCTAGTAAACAGCATGACGATTTCATTCTTTGTATCATTGTCTTCTTTGGCATGATTCAACCGAGATAGTGGCCAAAACTATGGTACATCTGTGTAGATAAATCGATTATAACACAATTGCATAATTCAATGTGGATTACCTACTATCCTACACATTGTAATTATGTACAGGAAACCACATATTGCTATAATTATTGGGTAAAACCTCAAACAAATCTTTATCACTATGTTTTCTGACATACCTATTAATTCACACCTACATAATATGTGATAGGCTAATTACGATTATATAAATGTCAATGTTAGCTCAATTTATGCGACCGGTCTCAAAAAGTCATGAACATGAAGGCACTTTCTTGTGTTCTAATTTTGTTTGCCATAGTAAAGTTCGTTCGTATGGAAGAAGGTAGGTGTTGTTATCATCTGCAACTCTCACAACACTGTATATTTCAGAAATCGTCTCCAAAGTTGAATGCAGTAATCAACAGACAGCTGAATGGATGAACATAATGTTGTCCTACCCTTACGAATGCTTTGATCCGCAATTTTTCTTAGAAATATTGACATGTTACGATGGACCGCGCAATACTAGTTTTGGAGAACATCTAAATAAGTGCGCTATTCAATCCTACTCCTCCAGTGGGGTTGTTTGCAGAAGTGATTGTCCGGACATGATGAATAAAGTAACAGTTATGGCCGTGCAAGAATTCGATTTTAAATGTGAAAATGACAAATTCCTGGAGTCGTTCTTCACATGCCTTTTGAAGATACGGCAAGGTGCTGAATGTCCCGAAAATGGTTATAGTTCCTGTGCCAAACCATTTGAGTAGGTAATCATTAACCTTGATATGTGGGATAAGTGTTCATATAAAATTGCTTTTGCTTTATTTGAAATAAAAAGCGTACTTAATCGAACAGTCTTCCATTTTATCCTCGAGCTCCTAGCGAGTTTATAATTTTGCGGTGTCTGTCCGTTTGTCCATGCGTCCGTTAGCACGATATGTCAAAAACGAATGGACCGATTACGATGAAATTTTGCAGGTGGATTCTTTATCAAATTTGTAGATCGAAGTTCGTGAATAGGCAATGTGGGCCAAAAATAAGGAAAGCCCTTTGACATCTCCGTTACTTATTATGAACCGAATTGCATGAAATTCAAAATGAGCATAGCTTTAGCCATATAACACGTAATTCCAAGCCAAGCCACATCCAGGAACTCGTTTGCTATTTTTGTTTAATTTATTTCTAATCGTGATGTGAAAATATTATGTTTTACTACTCCATTGGACTTAGAGGATTAGAGATAAAATAATATTTCGAAAAACTCGCATAAGCTAGCCTAAGTAACTGTGAGGAGACCTTCTGAACAAAAAGTGATGTAATTGAATTAAGTAAGTGTGCCACTGATCCAAACAATTATTTATACTTTCTCTACACGACAATGGCAACGCCATACCAAAGCAACTACACATAGGGAATTATAGCAATATACAGGGTGTCCCAGATCGAGTGGGATTTCATGGGTAACTTTCTTATTATTAAAGATAGAGAATTGGTTAAATGGACAATTTTTTGCAGTTTTAGATGCTTATTTAAAATTTCCTTGTGGAAATTCAAAATGTCGAATAAGTTCGACATAAATTCAAAAAAACTAAAATTGGCAATTTCCTTTAATGCCTTATATCATTGGAAGTATAAGAGATATAAAAAAAAGCTTTATATTAAAGTTACTGTCTTTGATACGATTCATTTAGAATTGATGTTAAAAAAATTCAAGATGGCTACTTTTGAGGAACATTTACCAACTTTCTCAAGTTAAATAGGCGCCATATTGGATTTTTAGATTATTTGATAGAATTTTTAATTCTCTTTTCAACGAGCTATCATAGCATAAGATTGAAAATAAGATACCAGTTATATCAACGATTTTTATATTTTAATCAAGTAGTTTGTGATGAATTAAAAAAAACAAAACAAAATCTATTCAATACATTGTCTGATGGGCAATACGAAGTTTGCCGGGTCTGCTAGCAATAAATATGTTTTAAATAATATGAACCTCTGTATTTTTAAAAACCTGCATGCCAAAGGTTCCCCACGTAACCTTTGCCTTGAGCCGGCCCCGCAACCACTATCTACTATAAAGAAAAAAAACTAATAAACATTTTTTCTGCATATTAACCCTTCTGCTTGAGTTTGAACCATTTTTGCAACTTTGATTAAAAAACAATCATACACTGCCGACACTTTACTGTTAATTGTGAGAATTCAACCTCTTTTGTTTCGTTATGGCGCACTTGGATTCGGAAAATAAGTTTTTTTTACAAATTGGCATTTCGACTTGGTTTTTCCATTAGATTTTCTCATGGAATATGTGGTTTTCTTTGTATCAGAAAAAAATGTGTCCTTTTGGCTACCCAGAGGTATAATTTTGTAGGGGGTGCCATTTTAAGGTCAATCAAAAATTTAATTCTTTTTAAAGTACCTAAAAAAATTATGTGACTGTGGAAGAGGTCTTGACCTGTGCCTCAGTTCAAAACTTAGCCGCCTGCGCGATTTTGTTTCTCACAAAAAAATTTCAAAAATCTGTTAAATTTTGACGAATAAAGGTTATAAGTAGTAACAGCGAAATCGTTACAGTTAGTGGTATAACATGTTACATAAAAAAATAAGTATTTTACAAGTACGTTCCAAATCAGTAATGATATGAGGTGTTTCGTTTAAATATTTTCATCTTATTTTCCTTCAAAAAATCAGTAACTTTCTTTAAAAAATTTAAATCGAGCCATTGTGTGGGAATCTTAAACAAAAAATTTAGCAATTCGCGGCCATTTTTAAATGTAGCCGCCAAACGACCATGATCTGTCCCACGTGGCCAATGTTTTTTAAGCTCCTATAGGTGTTTAATAAGGATCCACTCAAAAACTTAGGGGAGATACTACCTACTGCACATCATGACATGATGCAGCTCCCGCACTACCTGGCATTTGTCATTTCTAGAGTAGAAAGTAAAACAAAAACCGACTGGACTAAATTTAACAGGAAAGAGGTGATCTCTGATCCTGATGTTTCTACCATGGGATATTTTCCATTAATCTTAAATCGTATAGGTACATGATTTGTCAACATTACACTGTGTTTCGGTAGCACTCACAGATCTTTAAGGATCGAATTGTCCTCAGCATGGGACAGACTGCACGTATGCTATGTTCAAACAAGCACCACAAAGAGGATTTCCAAAAGAAGAGACACGTCAAGAAGAACCAAGGATATTCGAGATGAAGAAGCTGTATCGCTTTCGTTTTCTTTTGCTTCTTGCATTTGTTAGACATATGGTCACGACCATTATTAGCGAGCTTGCAATTTAGGTCAAAAAGTAAGGAAGACCCTTTTGACGTCTCTGTTATCTATGCACCGAATTGCATGAAATTTAATATGGGCATAGCTCTAACCATGTAATACGAAATTCCAAAAATTGAGTTTAATCGATTCAACATTAGCAGTGCCCTTTTCGCATCTCGATCATTTATGAACCGAATTCCAAATCTACAGTGCCGTCCTTCAAGAGCTTCCAAAATACGAAATACCAAATCGATTTTTCCTGATTGGTGGAATGTGGAATGTTTTCTCAAATATTCAGCTGCTCAATTGCTTGGTTAAACTTTGATGCACAGGAGTTAAATTTTGTGTTACTCTTTGTCATATTCTCATTTTGGTTCAGTTGGTAAAGCCAAATTATTCAATAATTTTGTTGCAGAAAGTGTAAAATGCATTGTCTTTGAGGCATGATGTACTCTTTCCGTCTTGGTCATTTTTTGGGCAATTTCAATGCGAACGCAGCAAAAAAGCACTACCTCAATAGACAGGTACATGTTATCAGATATTCAATTTATTCTATTTGTGAAAGTGTTATCTCCGGCCAAGGCGATAAGGTTTCGTTATCGCTGCTTAAGCTAATTAATTTGAAGATAAGCACTTGTTATCACCGAAGTAGACAGGTGTGAGCTTTTTCGACGACGCAATAATTTGTTAAGAAAAAGAAGATGGTTAGGATAGAGGAAGACGTGAATAGTTGCTTTTTTGGTGGTAGACATTAATCATTATTTTTTTATGTAACTTGAAACGTAACCGCTTATTATTTTGCGTGTGTTTCGCTGTGTTGCAGTTATCAAAGCTTTTTGAAAAGACAGTTTTGTTTAATTCTAAAGAAAGTTTTGTCGAATTAGAAAGTGTTTAAAGAGATTTACATCGTAATGATAAAAGTGAATGTTAAGTTGAATTAAAGAAGTGAAGGTTGTCTCAGTTACTTGTTAAAGGAAGTTTTTTTCCATCAAAGAGCCAATTTTACATTAGTAATTACAATGACCCCAGTGTCGTCTAAATCGAGATTCAAGTACAATTAAATTAAAAACTTGAAGTTCCAGACGCCACATTAATTTATTTTTGTGTTTGTTTGTTGAAAATCGCAGCTACGGTGAGATATTTTGGATTATTGTCACGCTAAGGTAATTGAGATTTGCAATCAATCGCTTGTGCGTTTATAAGCCCTTTCGTCCAGCTTGTTGATTGATTTTGTCCATTAAATTTATTTCATCTGTAAATGTTCCATGTTGTGTTTAATCGAGCCGAAATTACCCCCTAGATTAGAGTTATCATGCTAAATTTTTCTTTTGGTGCCCAAGGCTATGCCAGGTTTTTAAATAGAAATTTGTAGTATAATTTTGTGAAATTGTAGAATGGATGAAGGCTGCCGAGTGTTCCCAAATTTAATAAAATTTAAAATCTTATTGAGATTGTTCGTAGTGACGGATCCTGGACAAATTATAATCATTTCGTATAAAAGATTATGTTAGTGGATGTGTTTAATTGAGCTAGCTGGACAAGGTGCCTCTGGGTGGTTTAGTGGCCGTTTGCCATTGCCATAGCAACGCATTTAAGTGATTGGTGCAATTATGCCAGTGCAAGATCCACGGGCCTGAAAAATAGCCCCTTGCGTTTAATGACTGACCCCTTAACAATTATGGACCCTTACCTAGGTCTAGGCTAAAAACCTTACGAGCTTAATGAGAAACACGGCACTATTGGCAACTGATATGGTAACTTGTATGCTTATTTGTTAGAACTGTGTAATTTAGGAGCCTTTCTTCTAACTAAAGTGAACACTCCAATATAAGTTCACCAGAACGTGCTTTATTTTATGTTGATGGTTAATTACACATTTTGGTATTAACAAAACAGCATAATTTGTCGTTTGGGTTTCGATAGTATTATTTGTTTCATATTCATAGTACCATAAGTATACTTAGAGTACCTGTGTTTAGATAACGTTATCAGTGTCACGGAACATATATAACCGGGGCTGCAAGTTGCAAATAACGTTTATTAGTTTTGTGCAATCATAGGTATTTCTAAATTGTCCAATTGAGAATGAATATCGCGTTTGTTTATAGTTTTTGAAATTTACAGTAGCAAAGTTGAAGTGTAGGTGCAAAATGGTAATCGAAGGTAAGCTGTATTTTAATTGATGCGTATTCGAAGTTTCCTATTTCAGATTTGGAAGAAAAGGTGACCAGAGTGTTTGCTAGACTCGTGCCTAAAACAAGTAAAGGTAACGACTTCTTGCAGATCTGGTCGATATTCATAGGCGAGTATAACGACAATAAACTTGTTTAAGTTATAACACTCAATTTAGTGTCTCTTGGAGGATTTTCGGTAGGGGCCCACTTTGCTTGGGCGTCTCCCTCAATTCCCCAACTGATCCTCAACTCCTCGTACATCGGCCGTGTAACTATTGAAGAGGCGTCTTACATCTCCTTAATATCCCCTTCTACGATGCTGGCAGCTTCCTTTCTGGTTGGGAATGCGATGAAGTACATAGGAAGGAAATACATAATTGGATTCATGGCAATTCCACATATAGTAAGCTGGATACTAATCTCCAAGGCTAATAATATCGCCGGAATTTACGTCGCGCGCGCCCTTAGCGGAATTCCGGAGGCCATAACCTATTGCACCGTAACAGTTTATATTGGCGAAATAGCGACACCCTCAGTAAGGGGGCGATGGGGAAATATGTTAACGTGCGCAATATATTTAGGTCAGCTCTCCATTGGCAGCGTAGGTGCTTATGTTGACATTCCAAAAACCGCATACATTTTTCTATTTGCGCCACTCTTACAAATATTGTTAGTCATATTTCTACCGGAATCGCCATACTTCTTGTTAGCGAAAGGAAAACACGATGATGCGAAAAGTACATTGGAGGCAGCTCAGGTGGAAAACTGATGTAGACCGTGAGTTTATGACGTTAACTGCGGATGTAGAAAGGCAAATTTCCGAATCTGGCAGCTTCAAAGACTTATTCTGCATTGGCACCAATCGGAGGGCACTCTTGGTGCTGGTTGGACTGCGCACTTGTCAGCAATTAAGCGGAATATCGGCATTTATTATTTATGCACAGTATATATTTCAATTGGCGGGTGCGAAATTCGTTTCAGCGCAAGTGTCATCGATAATATTTTACTTCGCTCTATTTCTTTTGTCTACGATTTCATCGTTTGTTATCTCGAAATACAGCAGAAAAACCATGTTAACCATTTCTTCTTTAGGTTGTACGTTATCTTTATTAATGAACGCAATTTACTTCTATGTCATGGAAGAAACTGAGATTGATGTATCGAAACTCGGTTGGGTACCATTATTCGGCATGACTTCTTACATTGCTTCTTTGACCGCAGGACTATCACTTTTACCCACACTGATGACCGGCGAACTGTTTTCAGTAGGTATCAAAAATCAAGCAATGTTCGTTTCGAGTGCCTGTTTGGCGCTGACAGTAATTGCCCTGCCAAAGATACTTCAGCTGCTCTTTTCAAATTTTTCGTTACACGTCACTTTTCTATTTTTTACTTTTTGGTGTTCCGTTTCTGCGGTATTTTCGTACTACTGTGTTCCTGAAACAAAAGGAAAAACTCTGGAGGAAATTCAACAGTCGTTAGGTAAAAGGCAGTAAATAAATACTTGTGACAGATTCGCTGTAGAGGTAGGAAAATTTATTGAGTGTCTATTTTATGACGCAGTGTTAAATAATGTATGAGACAAGACAATACCATAAATATTGTTCTCAGACAATTTACTACTGTGTGTATAGGCATTGTTTACTTAGCAAGCTAATGCAAAGTAAATTTGGTATTTATAGATAATTATACTTTAATAGTTACACCACGTGATATTATTTTACTGCGTAAAGTAAGCAGAAAGTTGTAAAGGTGCCTATATAATGTTACTTTTATTTTAAGACTAGCAAACATTAAAGGAAAAATAAATGCTTTGTAGTTCGCTGCGTTTCTGTTTGGAAACTGTTCAAAATCTGTATACTGAATAGTTTCGAATGGCGAGCAATGTCGGAGCCGTGGGTCAAAAGGTATTTTGGTAACTCAATCCAGGATCATTACAGTTGCCGTTTATCTTGTATTTTTTATTTCAGTTTTAACGTGCAAAAGGATTACAAGGGCAGAATTAAAAGCACCTCACATTGTTCAAAAATTTAAACAACTGACCATCCTACATTGGAAAGGGAACGTTTGTTTCGAGATTTTTAGCACACCTCGCAAAGCAAGCGCGCATATATTTTTACTGTTGACTAACCTTTGATTTGACATCCCTTGTAGTCGGAGGTGGAGCAACTACCGGCTTGAGGGTCCATGCAACAGTTTTGTGAGTGCCGATCGATCTCTCTTGTCACAGGAAGTCATTACCCAATTTGGTCGATAATAAAAACTCCCCCAATCTCATCTCAAAACTGACAAGTAAATATCGCTTCGCTTCAAACATCCTTAAGTTTCTACATTACCATGAAAAATGTGGTTAAATGAAAATAAAAACTCTGAATCTAAGGACCTTTTAAATAGGAAAAAATAATCCAGGATTATTATTTAATCCGGTATTAAGTCATTTGATTGGCTTTATATTGCAGTAGGCAGTCAATCAAATGCCAAAATTCTTGTTTAAACTCAGATTTGGCAAATAATGTAGGATTTTGATTATAATTCGCTTTCCTGCAACCGGCCGTTAGTAATGTACAGCATGTCCCAGGTAGAACGCACCATAGGGGAACGGCAATGTATTTTTTCGCGAATGATCCACGAGACCTTTGAAATTAGCATTCAACTTACTACTCCAATCACTTCCTAGCATCGGGGAAGTGCAATAATGTACATTGAACGCTAACTTCAAATACATATCAAAGGCTTTAGTCCGAGAGCTGGTAGACATTTTTGGGTAGGTTTTTGAGGCACGCTGAAAACTTGTCCACCACTTCTCCAATAATATCCAAACACAGAAATGCGGACCTGGCTGAGGATTAGCTGGGCTAACACTTTGTCAGGGGCCTTCAAAGTTTGAAAAAAATAATGTCATTGATTTGTGAATCAATTTCAGACATACGCTAAAACGCTGCAACAACTATCAAGTATGCGAAATCGATCAAAAATCTTGTTTGAAATAGATTGACAAATCAATGACGCAGGTGTATACTGGCCGCAATAAATACATGAACACCTAGTGTACTTTGATCACTTTTGACGAAACTTTCAGGAGAATTGTCTTTATTTCGGCATAAGAAACGATGAAAATTTCAACATGATACAATTACAACTAATTCAGACGACACTAATAATGTGTAGATCATCCACTACTTCTTACGCATTCAGATACTCGACTGGGCATACATTCTTTTTTCAAACTTTGAAGGCGCCTGGCAAGGTGTTAGCCCCGCTTCTCCTCAGCCAGGTCTGCATTTCTGTGTTTGGGAATTATTGGAGAAGTGGTGGACAAGTTTTCAGCGTGCCTCAAATACTTACCCAAAAATGTCCACTCCTACTATTTGAGGGCTCTTCGGGAAAGAAAATACATTTAATTCTGTTCGTTTATGGTGCGTTCAACCTGGGACACACGATATACATTCAACGAATTAAAAGAGAAAAAAATTATCAAAGTCCTCGTGTGAGATCGAAGGGACTTCAGCGCATTTTTGTGTGGCAGATCAGTATTCTATTAGCCACTTTCGACTCAACCATCAATAACAGATCTTGTCGAAGGCTACTACATTCACTAACCGTTTCCCACTTTCCGCGTGCACCCGCAATTCGCTTTTAAAGTTAAAATCGGGTCGGGGGCTACCACATTCCCTTTGACGGTAGCCACTTCCGACGTCCCGTTCACCCGCTATTCACTTCTATTGGCGACACGAGAAAGAGAGACAGCGATTCGAGATTTACGAAACGTTAAACCGCGTGAGTTCGCCACGGAAGGTAAAAGGCGCCCGAAGTTGACTACTTCTCGAAGACGCGCGCGCGCGCCTCGCAAAAGGTCGTTAATTTCGCCCCTAGGACAAAAAACAAAATTCCGCCACGCAGGAGTTGTGCGCGTTTACAACATCTTTCCGCCGACACCAATTTGAAAAGAATCGGACCAAAACTGTAGTAGAAGATAGGAAACAAGTTTTCAAGCGGCGTTAGTTATTTCGCAAATTCTAATTAAACGCAACCACTACGGGCTTAATGAATGTCCATTGCGCCAATAACTCGACAAGACGGAGATCATGCAAAAAACCGGACCTCTCTACGATGTCTAGATCAAAAGTTTTTCAATCCGCCCAGCCAGCCAGGCAGCCAGCCAGCCGGACAAAGTGAAATGATAAGCTCCTTTTTGTTACCAAAAATGCGCTAAAAATATAAAAAATTAAAAAAATATTTATGTATTTATTTATTGAAACCTCAAAACAACAGATACAAGTATCCAATTACAGTTTTGAGTACCTACTTAACCAAAATAAACACATATTTTCAAAAAAAATTTAAAAATAATTATAAATAGGTAGGTATCAAAACGACTTAAATTAACATTAGTTGCTTTTTAAAACCTAATAAAGATACACCAAACAGTTCCAGGTCATGGTCTCGCGTGTTCAAATTGTTAAAGATCGTCATCATGCGAATTATAGGTGCCGTATTACTAAACGATATGGAGTATGAATGGCCTATCCAGAATACTATTTTTTTAAACCTGGTTCTTTTATCCGGTATATTAAAAGTCAGTAACGACAGCAAATGCGATGAATGTAGGTGATTGTTTATTATCTTGTATAAAAAGATTAATGAATTATTTCGCCTACGATTGTTAAGACTTCTCATATTGTACGTTTTCAAGAGATCATCATAGTGGCCAAAGATAGGATAATTTGAGTCTAAATTGCATACGTTTTATGAACTTTTTTTGAACCATTTCTATTGCCTTTACATATTTTTTTAGGTGTGGTGACCAAATTATACCTGAAATGACCTGGTAAAAACCAGAACAAACATTCTTAGTCCAGGCATAGGGTAAATACAATTTCCTCTATGGTCCACGCTATATAATATTTTTTTACAAACAAAAATTAGTTACCGGGCGAAACCGGGTTTTTCAAGCAGGTGAAATGAATATTAATTGGGAAAAAATAATTAAAACAGCTGAATTTTTCCGCATCCCGTGAGTTGACACTTGACAGGGCTGGACAGTGGTGTTTTGCAAATTGTGGCAAAAGGATTAATTTTAGACGAAAATGTGAAATGTAAAAGTTATAAAGATTAAAAAAATGAGCAACTTTTGTATCTGCACTATTTTCACATAACCTCCAATTTTCCTAGTAAAACTGGAAAAACGGTTTTTTTCGTTTTTTATTCTTATTTTTGCGAAAAAATGTCGTAGGGGTTTGAAATTTAGAGGAAACATAGCTTGTTTTATGATAAAAAGGAAGATAATTTTTGGGCCCATAAAGTTGAACCGTTTCCAAGATCTCACGATTTCTGAAAAAAAACCACCTCTTTTTCAAGGGGATGAAAAATCTATTTTTTTTTCATCGTATATTTTAATAAACAAAAATAAAAAAATATTGTTCTTATAGCAAAAATTCGAGAAAATCGCCAAAACCTGGAAACACAGTTTTAAGATATACACGGTTTTTGACATGATAAATCAACATGTTGGATGTTAATAAAGATTTTTTCGAAATCTGTCTTCTTGCTTGTCTTTAATGTTTGCTTAAATATTCTCTTTTGTTATCTTATGCTCAACTGTTTTAGTTAAAACATCTTGATTATTTCTTTTTTCTGCATTTTTACCGCAATAAAAGCAATTCCAAATAAAATCGGATTATCTTGCTTCCTGATTTCTGAACAATTTCTTTTTGTTCACTGACTCTTCTTCCTGCCTGTTTTATGCTGATGCTATTGCGTTGGGCCTGTTGATAAACTTACAAAATCTGCAATAAGAACGTTAGTTTTACCGGCTAAAGCAAATGATTTGAGGATGATATGAGGATTTTATTCATAATTCCTGTAAATTAACGATTAGCAGGCCCAGCTTAATCCCATC